CCAGTCACATAATTTTCCAAAGGCACATTCAGAAACATACAACATATAGCAGATTTTGTCCTGAAAATTTGGTAACAGGAAATTGAGAAAATGTATGAGTAAAATATCAAAAAATACTTCAAAGTGCTTTATCTGATAATATATTAATGGTGAAAGTTGACTTAAAATTATTTAAAAATATTAATGACTCAACACCAAAGTAAGATTATGTTTTGAATTCTCAAGTATAAATTGAAGAAAAATTTAGATGACAGAACATAACATACATAAATATAACTAACCTTTCAGTTAATGAAGTTGCTTCATTCTCTCTGGCTAATTCCAATAGCTTGACCAATTGGTTATGTTCTCGTTCTTTGATTTCAAGTAAGGCTCGTTTGCCTTCAACTTCCTTTATTACATTTTCCTTCTCTTCCACTATAGCACTAACCTTGTTTTCAACTTTCTTTAGGGAGTCATTTAGGTTTTCGACTTCTTGTTCCAAGAGGATTTTTTTCTTTTCCATTTCTCTGTAGGGGATACACACACACACACACGTTTGCCTTATTTTGAGGCCATGCTGGCCTTACCTATTCTTGCTTTCTAACCAGGCAGCAGAAGAGATAATCATAAATTCAATGATCTCAGCAGTGGGTAAAGACCACAGATGGGTGGGACTTAGAGGGCATCTCCACTGAGTGCCACAGAAGGCAGGAATTTGCCCAGCCTCCCTACTTTCTCTGCAGATCCCAATTTGCTACCATCTCCTGTGATTCAGCCCCCATCCTGACCAGCCTCCTGGAATTGATCTGAGTTTCTCAACTTTGGTGTTGGTGAGCTTAGTTTTTAGAACAGTTACTAGTGCCTGCCTAATTTTTCCCTTTCCTCTTAAGATTAGTCACCAGAGTAATCATATTGTTTTTCCAGAATTTTTGCATCTACACTTAAAATCTTTTATCTTTTTTGGTTCCTCTAAACACTTGAGAATTTCCTCAATGACCTCTGCCTCCAAATCTACTCTGAACATCTGAGGGATGTTACACACATGAATGGGTGGCAAAGTGGGGAGTTACTAATTATTTGGTCTTTGGGCTGCTGCCTGGCTGATATACTTCTAGACCATGAAATTCTAACCAGTTCACATAATCTATCCCATGTACGCCCTGTTAAAGTCAATTGAATTTCTCCATAAAAATATGATTTATAAATTGGCAACAGAATCTTGACCCATAATTAAGCCATAAATATTATGAATGATAGTAATTTAGTGCATTACTTTCTTTTAAAGAACTTGATATAAACAACCTAGACACAGCCAAAAGCAGACATTTCTAAAATTATCATAGTAATTTAACATGTCAGTGGTTAGTACTCTCGTTTCAGTGTGCACACATAACTTGGACTGGGAGGGATTCAAAGTAAAATTATTGAATCATACACTTTTTTGCGTGTTATTTTTTCTATCTCTTTTCCAATTTGTACTGGAATGGTTTGATGGTGGGCCACTTCATCCTAGCAAAGAAATGAAATAATGTTAAATTATGTGGTCTTCGACTAGAAGCAATTAAGACAAGAAAATTAAATATGAGGGAGAAAGGAACTACGATATGTAGATACTTACCATCTGCCCTGTGTGCTTTAATTATCCCATTTAATACTCACAATGACCTTGTAAGATAGCTGTATTTGTTATCATTTTGAAGAGGAGGTAACTGAGTGTAGCAAATACTGTTGGTCTTCTGCCCAGTTTCCCTTTATGAAGGTACAGATGGTCCTCCACATACAATGCAGTTACATCCCAATAAACCCATTGTAAGTTGAAACTATCTTAAGTCGAAAATGTATTTAATACACCTAACCTACTGAAATCATAGCTTAGCCTAGCCTACATTCTTAGGACACTTTTATTAGTCTATAATCCACCTAACACAAAGCTTATTATATAATAAAGTGTTGAGTGCCACACAGTAAATACACATAACTTATTGAATACTGTACAATAAATGTAATTTATTCAATACTGAAAGTGAAAACTGGAATGGTTGCATGGCTACTTGAAGCATGGTTTCTACTAAATGCATACTGCTTTCACACCACTGTAAAGTAGAAAAATCATAAGCTGAACCATCATTAAGCCAGGGCCCATCTGCCCACCCACCCCTCAGATGCTGCAGGGGTGACTGCTAATGGTTCATGCTTAATTTCCTCTCCATCAGATTGTCACTGGCTGAGCAGAGCTGCCTTGTGAAGGAATGGGAGCCAGGGGGTGGAGGGAGGAGGGGAGCAAGCTGCAACCAATGACTAACCAAGGCAGTGATCTAATAGACACCCCCCACCCCACCTCTGGGTGCAACAGCCTCCATGATGTAGCTTATGACTTCGTGAGTTCTCCATGGGATCAGGCTGAGACTAGAGTTCTGAAACAGCTGTATTCTGGCCCATCTTCTTCCCCAGCTCTATCCTGCTTCCCTCCATCTCCTATAGGATTCTCCTTAGAGCTCTCCTTCCATTAGTAGTTGTCTTAGGCTCTGTTTCTGGGGAGCCCGGCCTAAGACTCATGCTACAAGAACTTAAATAAGTTTCCCGAAGTCACACAGCTAGTAAGTGGCAAGGCCAAGCTCAGAAGCTAACTTTGTCTAACACCACACCTCCCACTATGCTCTGTGGATTCACGGGAGGTTCAGTTGAAGTCTCAAGAGTCTAACATACACGGCAAGGGTTATAGACAAGCGCCTTCCTGCCCAAGGATGTCATTGGACTTTGGAGCCAGGGGTAACACACATGCAGGGAGGTTGAATCCGTCACTGCAGTGTGGTGGGCGAGACATTTCTCTGTGGGATCTTGCTCAGTCCTGGGGCAGATCACATTTTGTGGGGCTGAAGCTTGTACCATCTGGAGGGCCCTCTTTAAGAAAAAGAGTAAAAATTACAAATGCTAACTTAGGTACAGCATCTCGGAAGACGTTCATGCAAGTGAGGGGCCTGAAGTTTAAGCTTCACTGGGTTCCTGTTAAATCCATCTCTGCTAGGGTCCTGTGCTCTGGACAGCAGCTGGGCACATCTTGGCTGACTGCTCTAGGACTGTTACAGAAAAATAGGTCAAAGTGTATCACCATGATCCCCTAGGCCAATGAGTTTCAGATGTTGTTTTTAAAACAGCTCTAGGTTAAACTGTTTTGAGAGTTATTTATACATCTTTCAAAGTAAAATGAATTTTAATTCATTATCTCCTAAAACATAAATACAGGCCTCTCATCCCTTTTATAGTGAGAGGAAGTGGAATGCAATCAAACAGACAAGGATAAGGTAATACAAATATATGTGAGAGGTTAGGACATTTGATTTTGTGTGTGTGTGTGTGTGTGTGTGTGTGTGTGTGTATGTGTGTGTTGTTTTTGAGACAGAGTCTCACTCTATCACCTAGGCTGGAGTGCAGTGGTGCGATCTCAGCTCACTGCAATCTCCACCTCCCGGGTTCAAGCAATTCTCCTGCCTCAGCCTCCCGAGTAGCTGGGATTACAGGCATCCATCATCACACACCCGGCTAATTTTTGTATTTTTAGTAGAGATGGGGTTTCACCATGTTCACCAGGCTGGTCTCAAACTCCTCACCTCAGGTGATCCACCCGCCTTGGCCTCACAAAGTGCTGGGATTATAGGTGTGAGCCACTGTACCTGGCCATGGTTGTTCTTCAAGGAAACAATTGTTTGTGACACTCGTTTCTAATGTCCAAAAATGTTTGGTGAGGTCAGGAGAGACCTTTTCACAGGGTGAGGCTCCAAATTAGAGTGATACTCCCAAACACCCTAAGGTCTTTTGTGAATTCCCAGAGCCTAGATTTAGTTTGATAGGATCAATCGCAATACAGACATTTCAGTTTGTGAGACAGTACCCCTCTTTATCCAACCTGCTGGTTACTCTTGATACCCACACACTTTTACATCCATGCAAGGCACAATGTTTAAGTATTAACGGCAAGTAGCACACCTTTAAGACGACCTGATGTTCCAACAATTCTTCTAGTTCCTTCTGCTCCTTTAGTAACTGCTTTTGTTTAGATGCCAAATCTTCTCGTAAATTTTTAATTTCTAATTTCTTCTGCATTATTTCTTTACGTAATTCTTCAGTGCTTTCTCTCAATATTTTCATCTTCTTCTCCATTTCCTTTGAAAGTCATGAGATGATTAGGTTATATAGTCTAAACAAACATTTATCTACCTAAAAACTGAATTAAAACTAATTTCACTCACCATTTTGATTATATTTGTTTTGAGGTTCATGAATGATTTCTCACAAAGTTAAATGATTTCTCACAAAGCTAAATGCAACTTATGATTGCCAACATCTTTAACAAAGGCATGATAATGATACTGCATGTATAATTAAACATGTTGGATTTGAATTCTTTTCTTATTAGTGCTCTTTTCTATTCTCCTACTTTAAAAACGCTTCATTTTACGTGTTAATTTTTATTTCGTACCAAGGATGTGAAAAAAAAATGTACAGTCTGTTTTCTAGTAGCTTTGTGATCTGACAAAATCAGATGCAAATAATCTTTGAATATCTGACTTATAGTTAACCTGAGTCACATGGGAACTTTATAAAGATAAAGGTGTTCATATTTGGATACCCAACACTTTGCACTCCTTAATCCCCACTTTCTTATTGATATTACTTCTCTAGCTCATGCACATTCTCCCCAAATACCATCTACCCTAGAATCATCGAAGATCTTTGTCTCATGTCTGATTACCTGTGGAGTGTTTGACTTATGGGAGAGAAGCTTTCTCACACTGAGAAGGTCTACAGTTACTGTTACTAATGACTCAGTGCTGGGTCTATTTAGCCTGCCCTGGGCTTTCTGTATAGCTCCCTCCTCCCACTGCTGCTGGGTGAGAGCATCATTGGTGATCCTAGGATCTGAATGAAATTTCAAAATGTTTTTCCCATAAAATCTGTGTTGTAAATGATGGTTTGGCATACTTACTTAGAATTAATAGTATTTTCTCTATGCTAAACAGGTTTTTTGTGAGCTGGCCTTGGAATTAAACCACCACCAACACACTTTTGGATTATCAGAAGGTGGAAGGAGTGCAAAGTATGGTGATCATTCTATTTACTTTCTATAATAGATTGTAGAAAGTGGCCACAAATTCCTCCTATCTCCAGGGTATGCATGTCCCTTTGCATTGTCTTGATCATTCTTCCCATTAAGAGGTAGGGCCAACTTGATTCTAGACTTGGTCATGTTATAATACTTGCATTGGCCAATGGGATATCATGAAAAATGATTTTAGCAGAGGCCCAAAAAGGTCTTACATATTGGAGGTTGCTCGTTCTTGAGGCTGGAAACCCTTCCATCATCATGTGACCAACTAGCGACATGTGACTTTAGACCAAGTAGCTTGCCAAATGGCTGGTATATGAACGGAGCTATCCTAGTTTACCCAGCCCCAATTTGGCCAGCTAAGACCAGAAGAATTCAGAAGTGTGAAAAATACGAAATGGTGGTTGTTTTAAGCCACTAAGTTCTGGGATGGTTTGTTAGGCAGGAATAGACAAGTGATACATTTTCTTTGTAAAAATGTATTGTAATAACTTGAGATGTTCAGAGAGCTATGACCGTAATAGCTACAGCAAAATAATATTTTTAGTGTCAACCACAGAATCTTTTTTTCTTCTGGAAACAAAGCAGACATTGTCCAACTAAATACAGCCTAAATTAGATGCCAAGTTGCTAAGGTCTATAATAGGCATCACTTATATTTACTCCAGAAGTTATGTAGCTAGTCTTTTCAGCATCATTCACAGTTAAGACTTTAGAATCTTTAAATTGTTTCAGGCTATGGCTGTTGTGATAAACATTAATATTTATAAAAAGGAATGATTGAATCCAGCTGTATTTAAGAAACTCTATATCATCTAAGACTTACTCCTGGCTTTGGTATCTTCTCAAATTCTTTTACTATGATGATTTTTTCTTCCTTTAAGCTGCAAAAAAAAAAAAAAATCAAGTTTAAAAAAGTACAAAGAAATAAGTTCTTTCTGTAAAAAGTACAAAGAAATAAGTTCTTTCTGTAATAACAACTTTCTATCTTCTCATCCCAGAATGCCATTCCCATGCTTGTCTGCCAGGCAACCTGGTGTCCATTCTTTATGATGGTTTTCCTGAATCACAGGTACATTGGGGTGCTTCTTCCTCCCCAGGACTCCCACAACTTTGTGAACACACACTCACTTAAAGGAATTACCTCAGCACATTATAAATGTTGGGGACCATGGGCCTACCCCTGGGACACAGGGTCCTTCCCGGCAGGCTCTGGGCTTTTTCTTCTTTATGTCACTTGGAATGGGCTAGTGCCTGCCTGGATTCCTACTACAGCCTCCCAATTGATCTCCTACTTTGCCTGCCTCCACCTTTGCCCATTAAAGTCAATTCTCCACCCACACCACAGTGATTTTTTAACATGTAAATAGATCACCTCGCTTCCCTGTTTGGTAAATTCCTATCACACCTGGACCAAAATTTGAACTCCTTTCCCACACCCACATGGCCCTGCCTCATCTGCCTCTCTAGTCTCATAGCCTGCCACTCTCTGGCACCAGTCACACTGGCTTTCTTGCCAAGCTTGTTTCTACCTCAGGGCCTTTGCCCTATCTGATCCCTCCAGCGGGTATGCTCTCGCCACCGATCTTTGCATAGCTCACTTCTTGCTTCATGCAGACCTGTACTGATATCACCTTCTCATAGAGGTGCCTGGTCATCTAAAACAGTACCAACAGTCCTCAAACTCTTTCCTCGTTTTGCTTTACTTTTCTATATAGTATTCATCATGACCTGACATTGTGTTACACGTTTCCCCACTAGAAAACCTAGCTCCCAATTTACCACTGCATCATCATCTTAACAAGTGCTTGCATCTAGTTGCCATCCAGTAAAAATTAATATGAATAAATGGAACAACTGAAATTAGTTTTGTTCCCATCTTCATTATTTAAAATAATGTATGTGCTGAATGAGATACGGGTATGCATATGCAAATAGATCGTCACTCAGAATGACCTGTTGCACCACATTCTTCTACATCCAGATTGCAGAAAACCCTCACAGAAATCACAGAAGGGAAGAGTCCACAGTTGTTCAAAGGTGTGAAGAAGGGTTATTTGAAGAGCTCAGTTTCAGTTTTGTGTGACAATTGCATTCCTGAGGTTTAACGAATGCTAGAGCCAGAGGAAACTTCAGAGATCCAGATGTGATAGGGACATGGATACACAAGAGACTGAATGAATATTTCAGGTGAAGGGCAGATTTAGACCAGGAGCCAAGTCTAAGTGAGTATTAGATATAGGTATTTGAGGACAACTATTTTTACTTTTGTTTCCACTACAAGCTATTAAAACTGTGACATGAACTCATAATCAGTCCAGGTGGGCACACCTTGTCTGCACTTCTATCCTGTCACTTCTATCCTGACCCATTGCCATGTGTTTGCTGTACCATTTTCCCTTCCTGGACACACAGGGTGACTATATTTCAGTATCCCTTGCATTTGGATTGGGGCCATTGGACTAATTTGCCCCAGGAAGGTGAGTGGAAGTAACAAATGTCTTCCCCGGCCATGTTGAACTTGGAAGGCACATGCTCCAGCTGGCAAAGCTTAGGATCGAGGTGGCTGCATGACTTGCACTGGACTGTGCTGTGAGCCAGAAACAAAATTTCATTCAGTTCTTCCGCTGAGATTTTAAGATTTGTTCTTACTGCATAGCCTAGTTGAAGCCTAACTTCTCCTTTTCTTATTCTGTATACCGTTTCCACAGTGCCAGTTACAGGGATGAGTTAAACATCCTTATTTCCAGTTCAGAATTTCCCTGGAGCTCCAAATTTTTATGTTCAGTTTCTTACTGGGCAATTCCAGTTGTGTATATCAAAGGCCCCTCAAATTAAAACTCATTATCTTCCCACCTGAAACCTACTGTTTTTCTATTCCTTCTTTTGGTAATGGCATTTCAATTCACTTAATTTTCAAAATTATAAATACAAGCATCATTCTTGAAACTTGTTTCTTGCTTCTTTCAAGATTTTTTCTTCATTTTTAAGTTTCGAGTTTTACTGTGATGCATTTGGAACAGATTTCTTTGAGTTTACCCTGTTTGGGGCTCATTGAGCTTTCTGAATCTATGGGCTTTTCTTTCACCAAACTTGGGGAGTTTTCAGCCATTACTACTTCAAATTTTTTTCATAATCATATACCTTCTCTTTCTGCAACTCCAATGACATGAATTAGATGTTTTGCTGTTATCTCATGGATGCCTATAGATCTGTTGTTATTTTTGTTTGTTTGAGATGGAGTCTCGCTCTGTCGCCCAGGCTGGAGTGCAGTGCAGTGATGTGATCTTGGCTCGCTGCAACCTCCACCCTCGTGGGTTCCAGCAATTCTCCTGCCTCAGCCTCCCGGTAGCTGGGACTATAGGCGCATGCCACCATGCCCGGCTAATATTTGTATTTTTAGTAAAGACGGGGTTTCTCCGTGTTAGCTAGCCTCGTTTCGAACTCCTGACCTCAGGTGATCTGCCTGCCTCAGCCTCCCAAAGTGCTGGGATTACAGGTGTGAGCCACTGCACCTGGCCATGGATCTGTTCATTTTTATTCAATTTTTTTTCTCTGTTCAGATCAGACAATTTTTATTTATCTTCAAACTTACTGTCATCTGTGTGAGAGAAAGAGCACAAGAGAAAGCGAGCAAAAGGACTTTTTAATTCTCTTGAGAATCACAGCTCCAGAGGTTCCCTTTCCCCAGTATTTTGGCTCCTGTGGGCTCCCATCACATATGACTCTGCCACTGCTGCCTCAGTGTTGCTTGGAAGCTGAGGTATGAGAGAGTGGAGAGGAATTAAAAGCAAAACAGGGGTCTGGACTCTCTCTGAGCATCATGAGTTCCTTGCTTGTTCCTTGAGCCAGAATTAAAGGGCTTTTCCTGGAGCTCTCTCTCTCCAGGTCAGTGTTCGTCTCTGGATTTCATGCAGGTTAGCATTCAGGTTAGGGGATACCAGAGGGGAAAAAATAATAAATTAACCACAGCTCAATGCTACTTTTAATCCTGACCTTCTTCCCCAACCTGCCTGTCATGATTTACTTTTCAGAGTCCTCAAATAGATGCTCATGCATTCCACTCGATTTTATAGTTGTGTTTAGTGGGAGAGACAGGATGAAGTGGGCTTACTCCATCTCACCTGGAATCACAGCCCATGAGATGATGTTTAAGATCATAGGACTGGATGAGATGGATCACTTCGGGATAAATTGTAGAGAGAAACAGGAAGAGAACTAAGGACTGATTTCTGGGATTTCAAAATTTAGAAATCCAGAAAATGAGAGACTAGTAAAGGAAAAGCAAAATATTTCTGGTTTCCATTCCTGTATGTAAGGAGCTTAAAGGCTCCACTCTACCTTAACAGGTAAAAAACTGAACAAACTGAAAAATCAACAGCTCTTCTCATATCCATAAGAGAAGTGAGGTCACACACAGGGCAAACTACTCTCCCCAAAATTGGAGACACAGAAAGTGAATACAGAGAATCACAACTTATTGGAGGAGACACCCATAAGCAGAAACTTGGGCAGGAACCAGTGCTGGGTAGAAAAATCTAAATTGTAATTGATGAATTGCTGGAGGTTTGGCGTGGACATGTCTGAGAGTAAAAATCCCCAGTGGGACACAGTTTTGTGAGTTTTACCTCCAGGAGCTTAACCAAGTCTTCTCAGTGAGTATCAGAAAAATCTCCTTGCGTTCCAGCAGGGGGAAGGAAAAAGAAGTACTTTGACATGCCAGAGTATTCTGCTCTTTTTAACAGGCCCGCCCTCAGCAACTATAATTAACCTGCTGGGGTTTGACTGGAGTCTAACTGACCTAGGGAAGTGAAAGACCCAACTCCAGCTGGCTGTAGCCTTCCACAGGGAGAAAGGAAAATACCCGATTCCAGCCCACTTTAGCCATCCTGTCTTTCCTAAGGGGGTTTGGAGGGTGGTGGGAAGTATTGATGAAGTTCACAGTTCAGAGTCACAGACTCACTAGAAGACTGAGACCTAATCATAGCACC